AGCCAGACACCACCACTCCCAGAGAAAAAAAAAGCACTGAAACTTTCTCTCATATAAACCACTCTCTAGTCACAGGAAGCAGATCAGTGATTGCTCAAGAAGGGGAAAAACAAAGAGATTATAAAGAAGCACAAAGAAGCTTTTGGATATTATAGACATGCTGCTCACTGTTGTAATTGTGGTGATGGTTGCACAAGTGTATACATATGTCAAAACTCGTCAAGTGTACATTTAAATCATGTGCAGTTTAACATACATCAAGTATACCCTAATAACTGTTTGTTTGTTTTTTTAAGGACATCTAGGCAACCACTTCACCTCTCTGAGCCTCATCTACAAAATGCAATTATTATCTACACTGTTTATCTGTTCATATGAGGATAAGATGAAATAATGAATGTAAAAATATTTTGCAAACTGTGAATACAAGGGGTAGGAGCATTGTATAATCTTTATTTCTATTAATGCCATTATCAACAATAACGTTGTCATTATTATCATCACTATCACAGTCTCTACAAAAAGACTCCCTCACATTGGTCTTCTGGTACCCTATGTTAAGATCACAGAGGTAGTTCATCAATTTAACTTGAAAGAAAAAACAAACTCTGTAAGTTCACTAGTTAGTTCCTGGGGTTTGACTGGGAGGAGAAAGCGACAAGCTGATAAAAATAACAGGGTTTAAAGGGGGAGTGAGGAAAGACCAGATGTCCAGAAATGTCCAGATATGCAACGACTAAGGAAGCCAGGTACACAACTGCTCCTGTAAATGCCTCCTGTGCCTGGACAGATTTTTATTTGAATGCAATCATGGAAGATCCTGCAAACAAATAATGGGGGGAGTCTGTGAACGTCCCACTACTGACACCAGAGAACTCATGGTCAGTTCATCTCTCCAGATGGACTGGAAGCCCAGGAAACAAGATGACAACGGTGAGTCCTCCCCTGGTTAAAAGGAGGCAGAAGTGCCAAAAGCACAGAGGCACAGTCTAGGTACTGCAAAAGGGAATAAAAAAGAGGACAAAGAAGGACCTTGGATTTTGTACAGAAGAAGGTCTCAACCTTCAGGTAGGTAACAATTATTTTAACGGTTCTGTGCCATCTTTTCAAGAAAGCTCAAATTTGTACACACATGCAAAAAAAAAAAACAAAAACAGTAGAGAGTTTAATCCAAGGCTGGTGAGATTGTCATTCCTCAGGTGAAGAGGGAGCCATGGAGGAGTAGGGGAGGAAGGAATTAACATTCATGAGCACTTATATGGCTTAGGCTTGGCATTTTACAAACATTATCTTATAAAGTCCAACCAACAGCATTGCACTGCTGAGAGCTGAGCTACACTGACTAATTGCCAAGTACTCTGCTCTGTGTGCATGATCTAACTAAGTCCTTTCAACAGCCCAGTGAGGTAGGCACTGGTAGTATCCCCATTTAGTAAGAGATATAGCTGAGACGCGAAGAGCTTTAGTAAATTGCCTAAGGCCACGCAACAACTAAGAGATTAGGCTCACCTCTGACGTCACAGGCTGAGCTCACCTAAAAATTAGAGCCAGTCACGCTAACTGCCTAGGGGACACAGAAGGAGACTTCCCAGTGTACAGGACAAGATTGCGACAGGCAGAGGTGAGGGGTCAAGTGAAGCAGTGATACCTATGGCACACAGGGCCTTGAGAGGGAGGAGGGCTGGGTGGAGGGATAGTGTTACATGTCCTTCTAACATCTGGCAAACAGAGAGACTGTCTCCAGGAACCAGGAGAGTAACTTCAGCACAGTGAGCTGATTAAAACTAAAGGTAACTATCTAACTTCATTGTAAACTGGGAAGAAAGAAACTGACGTAATTTGGATTTGTAATAACTTTCTCCACAATCTTTCCTTCCTGCCTTAGTTCAAGCTATAAATATTACCGCTCATTGTAGCTCTGGGTTAAGTCTTTGGATGGTTGGGAGAAAAATTTGTCTTCTGGGGAACCTTCAGAAACAGCATGGCGTGGAAGCACAGACCTGAGTTTGAATCTTGTTTCTGTCACTTAATCAAGTGCCCTGAACAAATCAGTTTACCCTTCCAAGCCTGTCTCCTTGTCTGTTAAATGGGGGTATTTAAAGCTTCATGAGCATGAGTCTGTGGCCATACCACTCTGAACATGCCTGATCTTGTCTGATCTCGGAAGCTAAGCAGGGTTGGGCCTGGTTAGTACTTGGATGGGAGACCACCTAGGAATACCAAGTGCTGTTGGCATTTAATAAAAAAATTTTTTTTTAATTTAAAAAATAAAATAAAATAAATAAATAAATAAATAAATAAAACTTCATGGGCTTGAGAGGATGATGAGATGTTACATAAGGTATTTGTCATTCTCTTGGCTCACTGAAGACACTTCACGAAATTAGTTCCCCTTCTCCCCTCTTCCTAACCTTGACTCAGAAGTGCTTCATGACCAGGGCTTCAGAGCATCCCCTTCAGGACTCCTGAACAGAGAGAGCAGCAAGGAGAACCTGCATCCCACTTGAGGGAGATAGATGCAGGTATGAAACTAAAGGGACTGCCTGTGGGACCTTGCGCTCGCTTCATTTCTAGGGAAGGGAAGAAACATCACAGCCTCGGTGCCTGCAAGATCCCACGTAGCCACCAGAGGAAGGGTCGTGGAACAGAGAGGGCGAACAGTAGGAGCCCTACTGGAATTTCCACCTGCTGATGTGGTCGATGTGGTTGTTCATTGCCTGCAGCTGGCTATGCCACACTGCTCTCTTGGATTCTGGCCACCTCCCCAGCATACCAGGGGGCCCAGAGAGTCTCAAGCCCTCCTCACCTCTTTCCAGCTTCCCCCCATTAACCCGAGTCCCTGACGTTCCTCTCCTCAAGACTGCCTGTGACCCAGATACAGCCGCCCCACTGCTCCCTCCCTTCCTTGCTATTCTTGACTGTGTCGGGGCAGAAAGAGCACAGACCTGGGCAGGCCACTTCAAGCCTCTATCGCCTCATCGGTGAAAAAAGGACCCCCCTCCCCCACCTTTAAGGGTTTCACTATGATTTCTATTGGAAGCAGCCAAGGAAATAACAAAGTTAACCAATGTGAGAAAGTTAGAAAGTTTCCAGAAAAGTCACAAAATTCTTGCCGTCCATTACTATTCATACAGACATTTAGGAAGGGTTAAACTATATTATTATATTTATTGAACATATAGAACTATGTGTTTGTTAATTTTAAGGAGCAAGTCGTACAAAAATCTGAATGTATATACATTTCTGTGTGTGTGTGTGTGCATATCCATGTATGTTTGATTAGTTATAAAAACTAAGAAAGGAGAGTTAATAGTTAACAATGGTTTATCTCTAGAGCATGAGATTACGATGATCAAATGCCTCTTTTTATCTTATACACTTCTGAACAGTTTAAATTTTTAATGGATATGTATGGCTATTGTATTTTAATAGATATGTATGGGTATTTATTTTACACATAACTACTGTAATGAACAAAACAATAAAAATATAAATAGTGCTAACCAGCCCTTCCTCTTTTATCTCCCTGCTCTTTCCTTTTATCCCTGAAAATGTTAGTGTTTTAGCTTTCCTTTCTCACCACCGACCACCCCACCCCCATCCCTAGAAAAGCAGGAAAAGTAATAGACATAAATGAGCAAATCTCTCAGATTCCCTAGACACAAATGAGCCCAATCATGTTTCTGAGGAGTGATGTCTTATTTCAAAGTGCCCCCAGCATTAAACAGGAAATGTCAGATTAGACCATTTCTAAACACCTGCTCTCCAGGTGGGAAAACCAAACTCCACCTAAACGTCAGAGCCTGCCAGAGGACCACAAGAGCTTAACAACCAGCTGCCAAGGGTAGTGAGAGGACACTTACCAGTCCCAGTCCTGCCACTGCCTGTGTGGCCATGGATAAGGCCCTCCTCTTTGGGCCTCCACTTTGCTTCTTGAGTGGGAGTGTCAATACCAACCTCTAAGACTGTAGACAAGATCAAATAAGGTAATGCAAGTAGAAGCGCATTTTCAATTGCAAAATTCTTCACCAAGTTTAAGAAGAGTAGGGGGCTCACCAGCTTTTTCGTAAAAGGAGGCCACTTTCATTTTGTGTGAAATTCATGAGTAGACGCAGAGAGAAGGGAGTAAGGGAGGGTCCTTGGCCCTGATGGTTTTTTCCTCCCTGGAAATCCAAACTATGAAGAGGAGGATGTGTGCACATGCGTGTGCCTGCGTGTGTGTCTGTGTGTGGTATGCGGGGAAGGGTGCTTTGAAAGAGTTTAAGTGTGAAACACACACAGCATCTGATTCCTGCCTGGAGCTGCTGTTCTAAGTGGGTTTTGAGATTTGTCAGTAGAATCCTGTGTCCTGCCTGGAGACTTCAGCCCACACACAGGAGGGAAGAGCCAACAAGGAAGACTGTTAACTGCCTTCCCACCCTTTCCAGAGCACCTTAGTCAGCAAGCTGTGTCTGAAACCAGGGAGGAAAATCAGGTGGGGTCTGTCCAGGAGCCAACGCCAGAACAGAGTACTCTGCAGGAAAAAACCAGAGCCTAGCTTCCAGGAGACCCCACTCTGCACTACTCAGCTTTGTGACTTTAGACAAGTTGCCACTCCACCATGCGGTTCATTTCCCCATCTGTAAGGGGATGGACTAGACAGGGTTGGACTAGAACAGGATCCTTCTGGCTCCATGACCACAGTCCTTCTGTGCCTGCCCATCAGGCTGTGGAGCTTCCCAGGGGGCCCGCGGAGAGCTGGGAAAGGAGTCTGGAATTCTTTCTGCCCTCGGTCAGGAACGGACACAGGCAGTCATTTTTTTTTCCCCTCTGGTTCCTGCGTCTTGCCCTGAATGCACTGGAAATGTGTGAACTCATTTTTCTTTCCCTTCCAGAAAGAAAGGGGAAGCCGAGGAGGCAGACAACAGGGCAGTGTGGCATAATGAGAAAATGGAGGGAGGCTGGAGGACCTGGCACGGAGGGTTACTGCACCGGTCCAGGAGAGAAGGCACACACACCAGGACCAGACAAACCAAACTTTATTCAGAAAAGCATATTAGTAATCACCACTGAACTATTAAATGAGGCACTTAGGTCCCTCTCCCTAACGGCCCTCACCCCTTCCATTCCCACCGTTGCTTGTGTCCTTTGTAGAACGCTGGAAAAATCTTCTCTTGAGTCTACAAGAGGTCCCAGACTTTGGGCTGAGAGCAGCCTACAGTGGTCTTGGGCTAGACTGAGTCCTGGAGTCCAAAGAAAGAGGCCAATGGGACTGCCTCCAGTATCCAAAAGTTCCATGCCAGGACAGGTGGCCATTCCTATAGCACAGGGCCTTGAGGGAGAGAAGGGGATAGGGTGGGGGCCATCTTACACGTCCTTCTCACATCTGGAGAAGCAGCTGGAGGCCAAGCGGAAGGCACATCTTTAAGAGCCAGTGAGCACTGGAATGTTTCAGGCACATCTGGATAGATAAGATACCATGAAGGCCAAGGAGAGATCTGCTCCTGAGTAAGGTCACCTGACCACAGACAGAGCACCATGGGCTGGGCGGCTAAGAAAACATCCTCAGGGACTTGGATCTGAGCTGAGGATGCAGCTTTGATGATGGTATAAGAAAGGAGAAAAAAAAAGGAACAAAAGCTGGAGCCAAAACCCATTGTTTAGGGTACAGAGGCACACAGCTCAGTTCCAGGTGTTTGGAATCTTGCTCCCACGTCATAGCATGAGGAGAATCAGAATTTCTCTTGTATTGAGGCAAAATGAATCTTCATCCATCTTGGCTCTTCCATTGCATGGTGTTGGGCAGCTGGGAAGCTGGTAGGCAGAGGTCATTCCTTCTCCCCACTCTGAAACCCTATGCTGGCCCAGGCCAGAATGGTGCTGCCCATCCAAGGAAGCAGGCCCTGGGAATCTCCACGGCCACAGCAACATGGAAACCTGCAAGAGAAAAACTAAAGTCACTGAGTTCCCAAACCACTCCGAAGGAAAGCCCACCCCCAGCAGTGGGAGCTGGGGGGCCAGTTACACTGCCTGAGGCAAGATAGCAGTATGCCAGCCTAACAGACAAAGTAGGGCTCCGTGTTGAGATTTCCCAGAGGAGCGAAAACAACAAAGATAACCACAGTTTTAAAGGGTGCAGAGTTTAGTTTTGCAAGATGAAAAGCTCTGGAGGTCGATGGTGGTGATGGTTGTACAATGACACAGATGTACTTAATGCCACTGAACCATACACTCAAAATGGTTTAAATTATTAATTTTGTTTTGTATATTTTACCACAATTAAAAAACAAAAAACCTTTAAAATTACCATGTTAACAATATCTAACATGTATTGACCCACTACTAGACACAGATTAGCCCAGTCCTAAAGAGGCCAACTGCCAGGGGTCAAATCCTAGCTCCACCCTTTACCAGCTGGGAGACTCTGGGCAAGTTACTCAACCTCTCTGTGACTCATTTTCCTCATATGGAATATGGGAATAATGATAGAACCCGACTCAACAGAGTCATCGAGAGGATGAAATGAATACGTCTAAGTGCTCTGAGCAGTGCCGGGTACACGGAAGGCTGGATAAATGCAATGGCTACTACGTAGACCTTACGTAAGTGACCCCCACCCCCACCCAGATCTTCATGGCAAAAACAGAGAACCTAACACCTCTCTGCCCAAGCCTTAAAAACATGCTCACAAACACACCTTCTGGCCTCCCCTGTTCTAGTTTCCAATCCAGGGAGGGGTGAATTTTTTCAAAGAACAAACCTTTGAAGGATTTAGCAAAGAGGTTGAATGGTCATGACTCTTTGGACATTGCAGTTATTACTGTCACCCCTCCTAATTGCTCTCTGAATAAAAACCCTCTAATTTTTAGAAAAGGAAGAACTCTTATTTTTTATTTAAAGGCCCATGACCCCTCCAGAAAACCAAGAAGTGTCTTACCTTATAGAGGTCCGGCCAGCTGTTCACCCCAGCTCCAGGGTTTTCTTCTCTCTTTGGTAAGTCTGACCACTGTCACGGTCAATGCCAGGATCTCTTACAGGTGACGTTCCTTTTGACTTGGGAAATCACCCGGAACCTTGGCTACATTTCTCAAACAATTTAAAGGAATGTTCGAATTCACCAGTTCCAGGTCTCTCGCTGGCCTGGCAGGGGCAGCTAGTTTCCTTCACCCGCCCGGGCCCTCCTTCTGCTAGAGAAAGTCCTTGGGAAAGACAGGGCCACCCCAAAACTTCAAACAGACCATAGCCAATGGGTTGGAATGATTGAGAGTCAGGACAGCACAGAGGACAGCACAGGGCTGCCAGAAACCTTAAGGCGGCAAAAACTGATCCAGGCCCAGAGGCAGTAAACACTTATACCTCTGTCTTCTTTTACAGCGGGACCTCTCAGAGCCTTTGATATGCACCCTTGACAAATCCATTTGACTCTGAAACCCTCTTTTAGAGGGTAACTCCTGAGCCAGAATCCCTGGGAATACCCACTGCTTTAATGTAAACAGTGCTAGATTGGAAGCGCTGAGATGAGCTTCTAATATTATTCTGGCTGTTTTACGAGCAAGCTCTAGGGCTCCATCTGTAAAAACGAGTGAGGCTCACCCTAACATTCCGTGCCGGTGGTGTGGGATCCCTAATGCAAAAGGATATTAGGAGGTGGGAGTGGAACAGAAGCCTGTGAGAGGAAGGCTGGGAAGGCTAGGCCTGGGAAACTAGTGTGAGTTTGGATCTGGCTTCCAAGAACCGCCAGAACAAAGGCGGAACAGGCAGAGGCAAGAATACAGGCCGGGGCTCTTGCCGTCCATCCATCCTCGCCTTCGGAGATGGGTTCCACCCCAAGATACCAAAGCATCGAGAGATGGGCCGGGAAGGGCTGCGCAAGATGCCCGCACAATCCCAAGCTAAAACCAAACTCGTCGCTCATCCCGGGACCAGTGGCGGCCTGTGCCCAGCACCGCCTGCAGCTGTGTGCCTGCTTTCACAACGCTCGAGGCTGGAAGAGAAGCCCGGGAAAAGGGATGTTCTTCCCTCCGCGGGGAGGCGAGGAGGGTGTAGGGGAGCAGCCAGAGAACTGTTTCCGATTTGGGAGTCTCCCCCGGATCTCTGCGGCGCCCGTCCACGTCTCTCTCTCGGCAGGGAAGGGGGAAAGGAACCGAGAGGTTTCGCCCCCGGGCGGCCAGTCTGAGTGCGCATCCGCCCCTCAGAGGTAGCCCGGTCCGGGTCCCTGGAGACAGCGCATCCGGCGCAGCGGTCCGGATTCAGGGCGGTGGCGCTGCCGTCCAGCGGGAACTGCGTGTCAGGGTGCCCCGGCGCGGGCGGCGGCGGGAACTCAGGGCAAGGGAGGGCGTCAAGGCGCGCGGACGCGGGGCGGCAGGGCAGGGTGGGGCGCCGGTCTCCGCAGGGTCCCCGCTCCGCGGCGCGGCGGCCTCACACCACTTCCAGCTCGCCCTGGCAGCGGCGGCAGCAGCCGTAGAGCGCCGAGAGCAGGTAGAGGCCAAGGCAGAGGCCGCCGCAGACAGCGGCCGCCAGGAAGGCGTGGTAGGCGCAGGGCATCTGGTAATCCTTGAGGTTGCAGTAGCTGTGTTTCTGCGTCTGGTCGATCATGATGGCTGTCGCGGCGCCATAGAGCGCAGCCGCCAGCAGGTCGTGAGCCACGTTGACCACGAGCCAGCGCGAGCCCAGCACGGGCACCAGCTCGTGCTTGCCCAACAGCGTGAGGAAGTAGAGGCCCAGGGTCAGCAACCAGAAGAGCACGGACACGAAGAGCGCGAAGTGCACAGGGCCCTGGTACCTGCTGGTGGCGATGGTGATCCAGAAGGCGGCGCCGGCCAGCAGCTGCAGCAGCCGCAGGACGCCCAGCGGGCCGCGCAGGAAGG